GGGGGGGGGGGGGTTAAATGGAGATGTTGCATGTTTGAAGAATTTGCGATTTAAGTGTTGATTCTTATGCAAAAGTACGCGATAAACATGCGATGGTGCCTCTGGTTTTCTCTGAAATCAACTCCCAAGCTCAAGAAAAGCTCTAAAGTTGGGGCCAAAATGGAGGGGATATCCCACGCTATCCTGAGAGTCCACCTCTACATCGAGACAAACTCTCCGTGCAAAGATAGGGAGCAAATACATTGACAGGGTTGCCGTGTTTTCAGTTTTGGAGTCCCCAAATAAAGTGGCAGCCCTGTCAATGTATTTGCTCCCTATCTTTGCATGGAGAGTTTGTCTTGATGTTATAGAGGTGGACTCTCAGGATAGCGTGGGATATCCCCTCCATTTCTGCCCCAACTTGAGAGCTTTTTTGAGCTTGGGAGTTGATTTCAGAGTAAAACCAGTGGCACCATCGTGTTTCTCGCGAACTTTTACAAAAGAATCAACAGTAAAATCACAAATTCCTCACACATGCAACATCTCCATTGAATTGCATTTAATCGCAATTTTGTTTCAATATCTTTTTGAACTGTACTACTTGGTATTTGTAGTTGTATTATTCAATTTTGTATAATTCCTTGAATATCGTCTCAATAAATAAGGTGAATTCAGATGATAATTCCGGGCGGACGGCGGGTCTTGTCGCGAGAATCGCGATAGCGGACAACGCGCCGCACGAAACGTAGTTCAGGAAAATTATCTGTGGCTTCGTCCGTCGCGTCCCCGATTTTTCCCGGCTGGAAAATGGGATTTTCCGGTTCGGCTGCGGCCGCAGGCCAACCGTTTCACCTTTAACCCCACTTTCATGCATTCCATCAAATTTTACCTCGATAATTACTAGCCGGCATAAACGGAAGCCGGACGGTCCCAGGACCTGGTTTTCCCGGACCACCGTGCGACGACCAGCTTGCAAGCCGGAGCCTCGTTCTTACCTCAACAGGCAGCGCTGGTGTATTCGAAACGCCGCACGGTGGTTGTGGCTCCTCAGATCCCACCGGAGGGGTACATTATTTGCAAGTAAATCTATACAAAATGATTTCTCATGGTACTGGCAATGCTTTGCGCCTTCAAAATGTCGTTACAGTAAAGTTTTCCATCGACCCAATATGACATTTCGCGGTTCCGCAGTAACTGGCGTGGGTGAAAATAATCTAGGGTCTAACACAGTACATTGGACGTACGGAGATCCGTGCAGTCCGACACCCAGATTGTTCATTGAACATGTTGCCTAGCTCGGCGTAATGAGACCGCTAGCTGGTTATCCAGCGCCGCCGTCGCCTCTGCTAACATGTTAGCACCGCCGTCGCCCAATCAAGCGAAGCCCTCCCATTGTGTGGATGATGGGCCTCGCCGTACCGCCGTCGCCATCTTGAAGGATGTATGGGTAGCTTCCTGATAGAATGTGAAACCACGCTTGATTGCGTCAAGTGTGGTTACCCTAGTGTGCGGACTGTGCTGATGATCTCCCTCTAATCTATTATGGAATCCCCTGATTAAGCAAGCCATGAGTGAGGTGGCGTCTTAGAGAGTTTGGTAATCAAAATGTTTCCAAGCCATTTTAAAAGACGAATTGGGCGTTCCGGCATTTTTAGCACTGGAAAAGCATTTTTAGATCCCCTTATTGCGTTATTTCGACGTTTATCCTTTCACGTTTCATTTTTTTTAAATTTTCGAGAAATAAATTTTATTTTTATTTTAACAATGAAAAGGGAAAATATTTCAAAAATATTTTAAAAATAAGAACTTTGTACTTGCTAGTACACTTCAATTTTTTTTGTAAAACCTGTAGATAATTTTCTTTAAATTATTTTAAAAATGCTTATAAAACGAGTAAATAACGCCTGGACAGTTAAATGGCTTTTATTGACTTTTATTGTTTTAATTCAGTTGTTTCACTTGAAACAACTGAATGCTGAATGCTGATGCGGTATGCACACTTGTGCATACCGCATCTATAAAAAGAGTGCTACTCGTCACTATTTCTACTGTACTCGAGAATTATACAATTACTAACTTTTTGTCCAAAATCAATTAAAAAATGGGAAAAAATGTTAGAAAAGGAGGAGCCAAAGGAAAGAAGCCCCAAAGTCTAGTCGGTTATAAAGTTCGGGATATTCCATCCTTCTTTCTTAAAATTGCTCAGTACTGACATTTTTAGCAGTAATATGACCGATAAATAGCACACTCGTTCGATAAAAATTTTCAAAATCATAGTTCGTGCAACTTCTCATGTAATATCCATCATTAGATCCATCAACAAGATATAACGCAACGTCACGCAATGAATATATCATGGAGACCTAACGTCAATCGACAAACAAGATATAACGTAACGTCACGCAAAATGAGTCATGAAGACCGTAACGTCAATCGAAGAACAAGACGTAACGTCACGCCATGAATGCATCATGAAGACCGGAACGTCTATCGACAAACAAGACATGACATAACATCATAACGTCACAGCTAGGACGAAGGACTTGACACAAAATAACGCAGATTAAACAAGTGGCGGAGGAAGGACATCTGGAAGGAACAACGGGGAGTAAACAACGGGAGTGAATGAATGAACTAATAGGGCTTATTCGCCGCGTTATGGAAGCGCAAAGTGGAGGCGTGAAAGCGAGCGCATTCCGTAAATAGATTTAAGGAGCTTAAGCCGTAAGTAGGGCGAATCCTAACCTTACGGAACTGGAAACTTAGCCGGGCGGAACTCAACGGAACCGGGTCTCGGGCCGGCGCGGCAAATCCAAAATTAGAGTTTTCAGATTGTCGCGCCGCACAGTGGGTCGAACTAATAGGAGAGGTCCGACGCAATTTTGAAACTTTGAAAGCTTATGACTCCGTTTTTACAAAAGTTTAAGATTTTAAAAGTTGTTCCCCGTGAAGTTTCCCTCTAGAAGACCCCCTTAATATTTAAATTGTGACGAATTAAACTTCAAATTTTAGTCAAAAATTTCATGTCCAACCTCTCTGATTGATTCGGTCCACTGTGCGGCGCCGTGGGGCCGTGGCCGCGCACAGCTGCACGGGCATAAAACAATAGAGGCCCCGCTGGAGGTTATTTTCGGCCCGTTCCCATCTATAAAAGGGGATCCTCAAGGAGTCCCCATATCCTTGGCCTAGTCAAAGTCGACCGATAAGGATTAGTCCCCGGCCCGGTGTTTCCAAGTTTGGACGCGTTTTTCCAGCGGAGGCTACGTCTACGAATGAGGAGCTGCGTCCCTAGGGGCGCAATTTTTCAAGAAAAATAAAATCTTGAAATTTCACGTGGAAAATGTCATGACTTTTCAGAGATTTATGAGAGACAGTGAATACCGGTTCCTTTTCATGTTACGCAAAGTGTAAAAGTGTAAGTGGACCATCCGGCTTCAGTTTTTGCCGGCTAGTAGATATCGCCTTTTCGGTAAACATGGCGTATGGCGTCATCCACCACGGTATAGTATGGGGCATAGTTGTCTTCCATCTTGGATTCATCAATTAGTGAGACACCTATTTGCACTGGTTGTTCCACACTGGGAAAAAAACACATTGGATCTAGAGTCCAGGCTCTTAAAAACATCGACAAGAAAAAGTACTCTTAATTCAATCAGAATCTAGCTTAAATCAAGAACCAAGCCTCTTAATTTAAGCGGATTTCGTTTTGATTCAAGCAAAAATCCGATTGAATCAAGAGCATTTTTTCTTGTCGTCAATTTTTTCAAGAGTCTGGACTCTAGATCCAATGTGTTTTTTTTTTCCAGTGCACTTAAAACACGAATGAAACGAAGATGGAAGAAACCATGGCGTACGCACTACCGCGATGGTACATATTGGACATGAAATTTTGGTGTTTGGACAAAGCTTATTATTTTTTGCTGATCAAGAATGTGAAATAATATAACCATAGTTCTGTGGCTAGCACAACTGACCCGTCGCCGCGGTTTTACTGGTACTATTTTTATTATTATTTGATCGCGGTCATTTACTTTTTTCCCGGTGTTTTCATTGTGTATTCCAGTGTTAGGATTCTTACGTTAAATATATTTTCTATCTGACACCGCAATAACACCAACAACTCCTCTCCTATAAGCGTGATGTATTGTCATGATATAGGAAGAACTATTCTCATGCAGCTCCGGAATCTCAAATTGTTTTGAAAGATAATAATAAATGACGTCAGAAGGCTGATAGTACTAAAATACCTCGTGGCGTAAGAACACGAACGCAACAAACGATGACGAATCCGTAAACAAAATTCCATGACATCATCCGCAAGGTTCATATGTTTCGGTTGATTTGAATACTCCATTGAAAAAAAAATAGCTTTTCGTGATCACGACGGAGACTTTTCACTCTGCAAGCGGAATCATCGACAACTTGATGTTACATTGTTGGCCAGTGAGATGCCTAAAGAAGGCACCATTGAAGAATTTCATGTCGAGTTTCGGGTTTTTTGAGAAGTTCTGTCGCATCAATCGTCAACCTAGTTTATGTGAGCAAATTGCTACAAGTTTATAATCAAGGATGTCACTGATTTGTCCTGAAATCACCTTTTGAGGCGTGTCGTACATCAGAAACTGAAAACTTTGCGTCTCGGCGTCTTTAAAACGGAGGCGCTAAACTCAAATACAATATAGAGAGCAGAGAGGAGTGAAATTCTAAAAGAAATTGTAACA